TCTAGTACGAGTGATATGCTGATAACAATTGTTAATAATTATTTAAAGGTTGCCAGTGGTCAGAACTGTACGGAACTATCGTTCAAGGGGTTCAGAACTATTGTTTAAAATTTCGAACGAGCCGTGAACTTGTCGCAGAAGTATAGCATATCACTCTAGTACGAGTGATATGCTGATAATAATTGTTAATAATTATTTAGAGATAGTTAATGGTCAGAACTATGTTACAGAACTATAGAACTCGTCAAAAACTATAAAATTCATTCTGAAAAAATTTTATGATATGCTAACTTCACGGAAGTTAGCATATCATTTCTCAACTTTCGTTTATTTATATTTAATAACCACAACTATTGTTAAAAATTATCAGGAACTATAGAACTCGGTTGTATGCAAAGAGAACTCTACTTTTTTTTTGATATGCTGACAATTGATATGCTAACTTCATACACATGCATTTTCGTCGTTTGTTTTGTCAACTTCAATAACGTGTCAAGTTTTATTTCCTGGTGATCTTTCGAAAACGATAAGTTCGAAGCGTCTTTTATTAATTTGAATCAAGCAGTTGCAGAGCATTTGAATTTTAAAAAAGATGGTGCACAAATGCAGAATGATCCAGACACTTTATTTTGCAATCTGGTTATGGCGGAATTAGAAGAATTGGATGATGATATAAAACAAGTCAAGAAACAAGAAATCATGAAAATTTTGTGGAGAAAGGAAAACCTGTGAGCGAGATGATTTTTGTGATAAAATAAATAATTTGCATTTATTCGTAGATACATATAATACTCATGTCTTAAGATTGTGCGATATTAATTTTAGTAATAACATATATGTGTACTGGTATATAATAATATTAATAATAATAATATTAAAGAAATTTTGTACTATTTATTTTATATTCACATAATAAATACATATTAGCATTACATTTCACAATATGACACGTGTGTAATCAATCGATCAAATATGTTTACGTGTAGATAAAGTCTTGATTTTGTCCTCTTGTTACATAATCATGCTGCTAATTGACCATTTGGAGTCATAAAATAATTGCAAAGAGAGTCTTTAATGTGCGTCGCAAATGCACCATTTTCGTTATTTTCAATAATTTCATCATTGTTTTCAATTTGTAAAATATTACCTTCTTTGTTTCTTAAGAAATTGTGCAAACATATAGTTGCCAAAATATATTTATTGATATTTTCAGGAATCGCAGCGATCGGTCTGTTATATATACCCCACTTTTTTGCCAAAATCTCAAATGTATTTTCTATTATACGCCGGACTCGCGAAAGTCTATAATTAAATATGTTTTTGCGTTCCCCCAAATACCGTCCAGCATATGGCCGCATCAAATGCTTTCCAATGGGGAATGCTTCATCCCCAATAAAAAAATAAGACACTTGTATATCGGTTCCGCTTAAGCAACTGGTTCCTTCTAGAATATCCAGCATCTCATTCGTCACATTCAAGTAGCTGCCCAGTGAACACAGTAATATAGTAGCAATGCAACGGCAATGTAACCGAATATAACAGGTTATATCAACCAGAGTGTTACATGTAACTTACATGTAAGTTACAATTTCCGACTCAGCAATATAACATGTTACATAACGTGTTATTTAACTATTACGTAACAGTTACACCAACTGTTGTACTAGCTGTAATAATGAGCGTAAAAAATATTTTTTTTTTTCGAGATTTTATTACCATTTTATAACTAATTAAATTTGTTTCTTAAGATGCAGTCTATGATTATAAATATTTTCTCGTATTTAAAAAACACACTTACCTTGGTGGGATTCGAACTCGGGACCTCTGGATCGTGAGCCAACTGCCTTACGTGGTAGGCTACTTCTTAATTTGATGTAAGTGTTATATACAGTCTACATATGTCACAACCAGCGCAAATATATAATTTTTCAAAAATTATCTTGAGAAACAAATTAAGTTTAAAAAGAGTATATAGCTGCACAAATTTTTAATATTGACATTATATCTATTATATGTACATAGAAGCAGTACGTAAATGCATTCTACTAAAATGGTACATGTAATGGTAATATGCATCATGATGATTAATTACGTTATTTACCGATATGGATGGATGATTATATAAATTGATCATATAAATTAGAAATATCTTGTAAATTATTAATAATTATTAATTATAAATTATGTATTTTGTAAATCATAATTTTTGCCTTAAGGCAAACTAAAGGGCCTCTGCACAATATTAAACCTTTCAAACAAGATATATATATTTAAAAACAATCGAAAATTTATGATGAAAAGCGCAGATCATTATTAGCTCTAGCAAAATAAAACGATGCAGGGTTTAAAAGCCTGGGCACATAGAAAAACGTGAGCAGTAAGCAAATCAACAGTCTTATATTGTATATGTTATTCCGTTACACTCCATTAATATTACCAGAATATTACTAGTTATACTAACATTGATCCAAGCGTGTTACGTAACAATTACACAATTTTTGTTACATAACTGTAACGCCAAAAAAAAATGTATAACAGTTATATTACCTGCATATAACAAATGTTAAATTGCATGTTTCTTCCATGTTATGATATCACAAGAATAACATTGTGATATTACATGTAACTTCCATGTTATATTGCCGTTATGAAATGTGTTCACTGGGTGTTCCCATAAATTCTCGCATCACTGTTCTTCCCCATTGACCCAATATCCACCAAAGTGAATTGATAATTGTGATCACACACAGCCAAAAGTACGATGCTGTACCGTATGTGATAATTAAAGTACAGCGTACCAGAATTAGGGGGGCATTGAGCATCGACATGTTTTCCATCAATTGCCCCCAAGCAATGTGGAAAATTCCATAATGTCCAAAAACCCTCAGCAATTTGTAAATATTCTTCTCTTGAAGGAGTTTGTTGATAGATAGGACCAAGAAAGTCTTTCAAATACGTCACACGTCTCTTTAATTATTTTATGTACTGTTGATAAACCAACATTAGATAGGCAAAAGCAACTGCTGGAACTTTGCCTCCAATCAGAAATCTGTAACATCATTATCAAATCAATATTATAATATTAATTGCCAAATTGTTTTTACACATATGTATTGTTAGACTACGAGTAATCCGAACATATACCGCAATGTAAAAGCAACTCTTTGCTCTGGTTCAAGTGCCCGTGGACTTCGTTTCATTAAACTTGGATTAACAATGTCCATCAAGTGCTGGAATGTTGGCAGTGTGTATACTTGTGGAACATTTGCTCATCTGTTTTCATCTCCTGAAAAAGATTGTAAAACGCTCCTTGCTGTCTTCTCCTTGTGTTAATTGGTCGTACCCAGACACGCCGACGATGACGTTCACGGTTTCTACGACGTTGCACCAAAAGTGCTCCCATGTTGACCAGAGCAATTAACAACAAATCGAAATCATCCATTTCTGTGAAAAGACAAATGTAATTCAATCTAATGCAGTCTTCTCGAATTAAAATCACATTCAGAATTGTATGAATTAATTGCAAAAACGTTAAAGAATGGCCAAACAGCGCAAATATCAAATATCAAAATAAGTGAAAAATATTCAATGATACATACAAATAATAAAGTATTATTCGAGAAAATTAACCAAATCAAGAAAATGTTTTAATAATGAATTTTTACACCTAAACTGTATATGAAACTTACCGAAAATTATGAGATGCGTTTATTTTGCAATAAATTACAATTTCTGGTGATCGCCTCG